AAAGCGGTATGGACTTCATGATACATGAGGTAAACATGAGACAGTGTTCAAGTTTTATTTGGGGTGGGGGTGATAGGATGGAAACTGTTCTTCGGGCAATTATAAGATTAATGTCAGCCGGACTACAGAATGAATCTTGCAGTTTTGCAAGGATAATTCACTCTATATTCACAAGAATCGGAAATCATTTCAGCTTGCCCATGTGAAAATGTATTGAGGGACTTTCATCCTTTGCCTTTCGGAGATTTTCAAATTGAAGAAAATCCTGGTATAATGACTTCCATGATTAAAATAAAGTCTGTGTAAGATGATGAAAATAAACCTAGTGTTCCCATGTTGGACGGGAGAGCGCGTATTGTAGAAACTGAGGGCACTAAAATACCCAAAGAAAATTACACTTTATAGACTGAAAGAAATATCAGGAAATAAGTTGAGAGGTTCCAAAGAAATTGTCCTACATGTAACAATTGATCTTTGTAGCACCCAATTTACAAAACAGAAGACTATGACTGTTGTCAAAACAATAATTATAGTATTATACATAAAAATATATACATTTGTGGTATCTCTCTATTATATAAACATACGGAGAACAAATATCTTCAATTCTGTATGAAGTTTGTCCGAGGTCAGAGGTCAATACGTGGCCTAATCACACGGCGCAATAATATCTACCGGTGCATATAAATATAAAATGACTTGCTCTACTTGCTTTCCATGTATAAAAATGAACAAAATCTGCAAGTAGAATAATAATTATTTTATTTACAACGTTTACAAGTATTTCATATAGTATTTTGGCTATCGATTTAACCTGACGTGTACATTTTTTCAGGAGAATATACCGTTTTTGTTTAAACCTGTTGGAAAACATCAAAGCATTCCAATCACGCCACGAAGAGCTGACAAACACCTCGGCGCTGTCAAGTTTTATGTCACTCAATAAATATGCTGTACAGTTAAAAATTTTTGATCTTAACGTTTATCCTTATTTTGGGGGTAGACTTTTCAAGTTAAATCTTCATGATAAACAATAATTTTTTCATCAAATTCTACTCACGATAAATTTGTAAACCTTCAGCCTTCACAGGATTTGATCACGTGACCGACCCACTTCAATTCCCATTGAAGTTTATAAACTTGTTATTTATTTCTTAAGTGGTGCTAACTTAAACGGAGTTAGGCAACTTTCTGCAATTCTAGTTCAATTGGCTAGAGAAAAAGCAAGAAAATGTAACGACTACTAAAACCACCAGATGTCATAAGACATATTACAGGAGTGGAAAAAGCATGAGAAGGCAAAATACTGGCTAGGACTTCCATACTGCAATTGACTGTGACAGTCTGAGAAAGACAAGGGACCACTTTGATAAAATTGTTAGTGATGTATTACAAAAAAAAAAAAACAGTAATGCAAAATGCGACTGAATGTGAAGAGTACCAGACAGCAACTTTGTCAAGCATCGTGTTACCTTTCCTATTTCAGGATCTTTGTGCATTATGATGAAGGTTACGTCATTACAGATAATATCCTGGTATCCCTAGATTAAAGTCCAAGACCACAAGACGCTATTTTGCATGCATTTAAAGGTAAATCTCCAATAGGAAATTTCTAAACTACACCCATTCAATACCAATTCAAGTTCCGAGCGTTATATTACTCAAACCATGCAACCATAAACAGTATTTCCAAATTAAAAGATTGATTGATTGATTGTATGCTGTTTAACGTCCCTCTCGATAATTTTTCACTCATATGGAGATGCCACCACTTGCCGGTGGAGGGCTAGAACTTTATTGTCCTATGCTCGGCACTGGGGGCCTTAGAGCAGCGAGGGATCTTTTTCTTGCCAGCACTTACTGCGACACGGGTCCTCGGTTTATACAGTCTCATCTAATGGACCGATCTCCACGTCCCACAGTGGGATACGAACCCGCGACGTACGGATTGGCTCCTTACTGAAGCGACTGTAGAGCAGACGCTCTAACCACTGCGTCACGCGGGCGACTCAAATAGAAGAAATGATTATTTGAAGTTTTAAAAAGTTCAAAAAATCATAAAATGAAAGTAAAAGGAATCATTAGAAATAATTTTTTTTTTTAAACTTCTGTGGGGTTCGATGGGTATTTGAATCGGCTAACGCATAGATAAAGAGGTTGAAATACATATGCTTAGCTTATTAATTTTTTTTCTGAAAGGTTCGATGGGTAATGGGATCAGCTAATGCACGGATATAGAGGTTAAAGTACATATATTTAGTTAATTTTCTCCGAACGAATCAAGTTCCTCATGTCGGAGATTATATATACCGCCGGTATTAGAATCATTTGTGCCATATCAGATCAGACAGGCTCCTTCTCCACTATTATCAGGTGTATATACATTATATACCTCGTATTTGATTCTATACAACTTCTGGCTAATTAGTGGAATACTTATAGTATATTATTTTCTCATTCAGTGATTTTTCAAATAAATTTGTTGGTTTCAGCTCATTGTGATTTAGCGGTGGCAGTAAAAATGTTACAGCTCAGTCGTCATGTAAACATATTGAAAGGATGTGTCGAGAAAGAAAATCTAAATAGCACAACACTACGGTGTGGACAGATGCATCCTCCGTTCAAGATTTTCGAAAGCTATCAGAGAAACAGAGGGGAAAAAATTCTCGCTTAGCATGTGAGAGGCCCCCGGGGGTCCAAATCCCCAGTGATCGTATTTTTTCAATTTTTTTTTCATTAATTACTAAATGATAGTATTTAGCATTAAGTTATGGCTTGTACAAAATATTATCATTGTGTAATGCATATTTTTTATCAAAAGAATCTTCATAAACAAATTTAAAGAATGAGCATCCTCCTTTCATTTCCTTCAGCAGGGGACACATCCTCTGAATAAACTTGTTTACTTTTATATTTCTCCATTAAGGTAGATTTTTAAGATTCTGAAATCTGCAATTTTCTGAAAACTGTTATCTTCGACAACTAAAGAAATGCATGTGTCAAGCAAAAATTTTAATATCCCCTCTTTTCGTCAGGTTTTCGTCGATGATCTTCTTACCGTCTCAGCTTTTCACAGAAGTCTAATCGTCTAAAATCCCAATTTGCTATTCGTAGACAAATGTCGGGAATATCCTGGTTTAATACATGTTTTATCATGCCTATATTTTGATCTATATTGGCGATTTCTCGAGCATTACAAATAATTTGTAAAAACTACGGTGCATCGGTGTAGCTAAAACGCGGAACAGAAAACGGAACGGAAAACTGAAAGTATGATTTCAAATATGGCACGCCAAATTCACAAAAATGAGATAATCATAGTTTCACAATTGATAAACTAGGTTTATCGACTGTAAACTATAGTTTACAAACCGTAAACTATAGCTAACGATTCGTTAAGTATAGTTTTCATCTGTAAAACTATATTTAACGGTTGTTAACTGTTAATTTAAGTTTATCTGTCTGTAATAAAACGTTAACAATAGATTTTTTTGATAAACATAGATTCACGTTTGTAAACTATAGTTTACAATCGTAAACTATAGTTAAGAGTTGTTAATCATAGTTTCACAAATTGTGAAACTATATTTATCAGATCGTTAACTATAGTTAACGGTTTGTAAACTATAGTTTACAAATCGTGAAACTGTATTTATCAGATAATCTATGTTTTGCAATTGCAAATGATTGTTTTCGGTGTTAAGTATAGTTTAAGGTTGCGAAACATAGATTATCGCGTTAACTATGGTTTACAGATGTGAAATATAGATTAACATTGTTAACTATAGTTTACGGTTTGTAAACTATAGGTTACAACCGATAAACCTAGTTTATCGATTGTGAAACTATGATTATCTCATTTTTGTGAATTTGGCGTGCCATATTCATATTAAATACAAGTTGATTTTGTCATGTTGTGTCACTTCTTCATGAAAACCGCTGACATAGCAGTGACTTGGCAAAGCTTACGAAATGGGGGATCCGGAGGGAAAAAATTAATTTACCTGAAAAGAACTTGACAAGCGAAAAAAGAAAATTAATATGATAAATTCCAACGCCAATTTCTTTCAGTGCTCCTTTTTACAATAACTTACTACATCAATTTAACAGAACGTGTGGAGGATTTCAACGAACATTTCTTTAGTAAAAAGGTTATGTCTGGGAAAAAGCGGGGGACAAGTATTTGATATCTAATCTGCTAAATGAACCATGGTAATTGGTAAGACAAAAAATGTATTTAAAAAATCTGAAGACTACTATTTGAGCACCCCTTTCCGGTAAGCTCTGATAAATACCTTGAGTGTAAAACTGATAGTTGAAATTTGTATACAAAATAGAGTCGCTTCCTATCTATTAAAATCCTAGACGGATAGAGTCTTAAATCTTAACTGTGGTAAAATAAATGTATCATCTTTACATTCAATGAAGTTCAAGTTAAAGCGTGTTGGAGAGGGTTGTATGAATGACCCCGTAAAACATTTTGAGTTTGTTTTCCGCTCAGGTCTGAAAAATTGCAACTTTCGATCCGGGGGCATAAAAAGAAAAGATATATTCTTGTGAGGGTGTGTATGTGTGTGTTACTTATTCTACAGATTTTAGTGACAGCATCCATGTCACACATTTTATTGTGACCTTGACCCTTGTTCCTGATTACATGAATAATGATAGTGTTAAAATCAAATCATTTGGGGCATTCATTGCGTCACGACTTTTGAATGAGTATTGCTTTTATATTTGACATGTGTATATTGTGATGAAGATCTTTCCTTGTCCATCAATAGCTTAGATCTCTTGACCTTGGAGTTAGAACTGCATTTAGGAAAAATTTAATTATCATAATCATCTGTCATAATGTTTCACAAAAAAATCTTTTTGTACCCTTTAACAGTCAAACATTTTAAGGGGATATTTTTTTTCTATTTCCTTGTTTTAAAATAAGATCAATGTTACCCTCTTGCTTGATACAAATCTCCAACAAACCAGGATATATATGACATTGTCATATCGGATATACGTCATACTTGGCAATAAAAAAATATTTTTGAACAAGTTAGCTCATATAGTGCTAAATTGAAGAAATAATAGTGCCTCTGTACTTCGTCGCAGCTATATAATATTATCACAACATGAATTTCTCACAGAACTTAAACCACACTCTTCAGAAGAAAGTTTCCGAGAGTATTGTTCCGCCGGTACTACAATGCTCATTTGGTATTTTAGGCAATCTAACTGCGATTGTTTTGCTTTGCGTGTCTTCTAGAAGACATAAGTGGAAACCGTTCCACAGATTTGTTTGTGGATTAGCAGTGACAGACCTATGTGGCATAGCATTTGTATACCCTGCCGTTATAGTTCGCTATGCATCTGGATTTACATACGATTATCCAAAGGAATTGTGTGAATTTGTTTCTTTCGTTTTCAGTTTTTCATTTATGTCCTCAGCTTTGATAGTGAGTGGAATGTCTTTAGATAGATTTTTGGCAATTGTTTACCCCCATCTTTACAGAAATTCTCCAAAGAGAAGAACCAATGCTATTTTGTTTGCAATCTGGCTCTTCACAGCTATAATTTCGTCCTTAAACCTAATGGGGCTAGGATCCGTCAAAAACTTTTATCCTGGGTCATGGTGTTTTATTAATTTTGCAAGCACTGGATTTTTGGAGAGGCTCAATACTTATATCTATTCCGTTGTTGGATTCATTGTGATGGCTGGTACTGCTTTCCTAAACATCGCAGTAGTAGTAACCGTTTGCAGAAGGCCAAAAGTTTCAAAAGACACGCCAAAAGGGAAGAGGAACGAGATATTCGTTATAATATTTTTGTTTTCCATTGTAACTTTGTTTTCTATTTGCTGGATACCATTAATGGTGAGATTAAGCAATTATTATATTTAATATCTCAAAGTTTTTTTTTTTATACCAAAAAACTGGCTATAGACCAAGAATAGCTGATGCAAAATTAAATGTTCGTACATCCGTCTGTCCGTCAGTTAACATTTTTTCACGCTGAAGGTGTAAGGTATTTATTTCTGTCTGTCCATTTCTAGTTTTGTCTGCCTGAAACACTTTATCTCGAGAAGCCTCTAAACTTTCGAGGTCAAAATAAAAAATAATAACTTATCTCAGCTTTAACTCTCGTTTTCGCGCATTTCCTTTCAAATCTAACTTCTACTTCTTTTCTACATATCTTCTTCTTTTGCTTCGTTTTTTATCTAGCATAAACAAATTTAGTTACAATCTTATCGGAGACATATATATCATAAGACAGATTGAGGATATGATCAAACAAAAGAGATTCAGTTTAAGTTATACAACAAGAGACGACCGTTTGACACAAGTGGGGGGATTTTAATCGTGTCAGACGTTATCCATATCTGTCATGGTTTCAAGGGTATTATTTATTTTCTTTGCTGTAACAGGTTAGACTAGCAGAACACTTTACGCGGGAAAAGGGTAGTAGCACAAGACAAAGACACCTTATTCATCTTCCTGCCAGTTGAGGACAGATTTATCTATTTTGGAGAACAGCTAATTCATTTCAACCCGCTCCCCAACATGATAAAATATTCGTCCTATACTTAATTTTCTGTATTTCATGCCCTACAATAATTTTAACATGATAATGAGCAGTACCAACGAGATAAAGAAAAAAGACCCAATACTAGATTCAGTCTAAACAAGTTTGTAACACTAGTTATGTTCCCCAAACGAAGTTGGGGAACATATTGTTTTTACTCTGTTTCTTATTATTATTATTTTTCTTCTTCCTGGGCACTTTTTTGTCCGCGAATGATCTCGTAAACTACACATCTGACTAAGGTGAAATGTTTTTAGGGTAAGTAGACATGTTATGTAGATTTGCCGAACGAAGGTCATTTTGCGCGCACGTGCTTGCAAGAGCGCGCACGTGCAACACGAGAAATGATCAATATAATGCATATAAGCGTAACTTTTTAAATTTTTGATGAAATGCTTTGAAACTCATAATATTAGGATATATTAGTAACATAGACAATATGACATGGCCAAAATAGCAAGATCTCACGCGCATGCACGTGCGCTTTGTTCTGATTGGCTGAAACTAAAGTCTCAATATCTTTCTTGTTGTTTGACAAAATCCTTTGAAATTTTGACCATAGCCATGCATTAGGATATCATACAACATGGTATATAGCAATTATCATGAAAACATGCACGTGCGCTGCAATCTGATTGGCTGAAACTTTAAATAACTATAACTCATTTGATTTTCAACCAAACAGGATGGAATTTGGAACATAGATAGATATAAAGGAGTTCTACAAGAAGGTATGGTCACCATGCACATGCTTACACGTGCGTGTACGTGCACTGTAATTTGATTGGCTTAAACTTTAAACAGTTATAACTCCCTTGGTTTACAACCAAACGGGATGGGATTTAGAACATAGATAGATGTAATGGACTTCTATAAGAAGGTATGGTCACCATGCTCATGTATGCACGTGTGTGCACGTGAAAAGAGTAAAATAAAAAATACACTTGAATGAGCGTATTTTTTAATACTTTTGGATTAAATACTTTCATATTTAGTATATTAAAATATATAAATTGTGTAGACAAGATGATATGGTCATTACGCACATGCATTCACATGCACACGCGTGCAATTCTAAAATTTGAATGAACTTGGCGTTGTTAAAGTCTCACATGAACTTGGTACACTTCTGGGTAAACGTTGTTAAAGTCGCAAATGCATAGAGTTTGTCCATTTAATGAAGCTTACAGGTAATACGGCACCAAAGGGGAATTGGGGAGCGTTTGGGGAACATCTGTAACGGTTCCCGTTACAATAAGCACTAGTTTTTCTTAAGTTGAAAATGGAATTGGGTAAGGGTATAAAATCTTAAAATTTTATTTGTAAAAAAATTATTAGACTAGAATTACATTTAGGTGGTTTTGTAAGTAATTTATAAATTTGATACATAAGCTGATATTTAAACGCTCAAACTTCATTGATGGAGAAAAATCTAACTTTCTAAGTTGATGTCCGAATAGGTCATTCTTCGATTTTTCACTTACATGTATATTTTGGTTGTTGTAATGTTAATTATATCCTTCATTTAGAGCATGTTATTTCCTATTCAGACACAATCATAAGGAAATAAAACGAAGTGCTCCTTTATTATTTTGTCGAGTATACATTGTCATTTTCTATTAATGTTTAAGGTCAAGATCTAGTAAATGAAAGGTGCCTACAGATTCATCAAACTTGAGAAATAAATTCCTTTATTGATGCTTTACAATTTTAGCTGGGTCAAATAAGGTGTTTCGGGGCATAAATTGTAGGTAAATAAGATGAAAAACTGTATTTTAAACTGTCATTTTCAATGAAAAATTAAGAAAATCAGTCATGAATATGGGAGTGTTTTTCAAATTCGGCAAAGGAAATGTATCCAGATTGCCTACAGTCTCTCAGAAAACGGTAATTAGTATGTTCATGACCTCTTCTTTAAATCAATATCAAATTTAATATAGGTATCCGGTTTACTTTTCATATGATTTCAATTTGAATGACATGAAAATACCCCATTTTCTACATAATTCTGCTAAAGCCATAAAGTACGGGAAAAAGAAAGTTGAAATTGATTATGACGTCATAATGGATCTAGCGCCAAAAAATTAGTCTCAAGTTATTTACTAGATCTTGACCTTAAATAACTCAAAATAGTCACAAGCAATCTTTGAAGTCTTCAATAAGCATATCAATAGCAAAAAAGAAGTTATAATTTTTGCTCTACTGGTCAAAGTCCATAGGAGCTTATAGCCAGTTGATCAACATCATTTACAAAATTAAAAAATCTTGTATTGTTAAAGACATGTATGCCGTGTTAAACAGTATTTTTGCACAGCTGAAACCGAATAAAAATTTCTGAAGTATGATAAGCTATCAAAAATGAAGCATTCTTGCAAATTCGACGAAATATTATTCGGTATTAACAAAGTACTGGTCGGGAAAAGAACACGATATTCTCATGCACATTTATAAAGGACTGACGTTTATCCTGGATCTGCGCATGTGCGCGGGAAAAGCATCGCGAGAATCATCAGGTCGAGGAAAATATTTTTTGTGACGTCTGTTCAGTGAGGAACCAATATGACTGACAAATCGACCAATCAGCTCAATGAGTTGCATTTAATGCATTTAGGGTTACTACATAAAATACTACTTGTGTTTTTTCGAAAAGGCTAGTTTTTTAAATCGTTCTCGGAAAGACGTCATGCATTTTCCCAAGCATTTACACGCTTAATGCATTATGTACATTATTATCTACTTAATTGAATGCCATGCTCATATTTGCATACAAATGATTAACAATGATAAAAATTAAAGGTTTCCCCAATCCATTGTACAGGTACGTTTGTTTAGAGTTTCCCCGTGCTGTACTGCTAGTGAAAAGACAATTGCACGTGATTATTCCTCGGTACAAAAAGCAACCAACTCTGAGGTGTGCTCACGTATTGACAATCCCTAACTCACGTGTTTGTAGTAAAAACGTAGTAGACCATCATGCTTTTCGGTTCATTCACGAGATTGGACCATTGTTTGCTGTGAGCATGCGAGACCACGTGATCATGAATATTTCAATAAGAGGCGGTTTATTATCCGACTCGGAGAGAAAATAATTTTTACCAAATAATATTTCATAACTTTTAAAAGTGATAGAGTGGAATTGTCTTATTTGCAGAAAGTATATAACTTGATGAGACACCACGTATATTTTATTTCTTTTAAAATAAAACACTAATACGGCATATATATCTTTCTTTCCACGTAATATTAAAGAATTTATTTCTTTAAAAGGCCTTATGATTTTAAGTAAAGCTGAATTTGACCAATTTTTCGAGGGTTTTATGATCATATTAAACGCTATAGAAGTATTTAAATCATAATATTCTCTTTTCTCACTCACTCAACAAACACATATACGTAATCAGGATGCTGCTCGCTAGCTCTTTATTTTTATATACATGTATAATACCATTCTCAAGATTCAGATTCACTTTTTATCTTTTTCAAACTACTATTGACTGCAAACTTTGACTAATATATATTCATTCCAAATCATCCATGTAAGATTCCATATGCGTATCATCCTTCTTTATACGCGTGTTCCGAAGGAGGGAGGGCTATACCGTTTTACCTTTAAGTCTGTCGTGTGTCTGTCCGTGACAAATTTTCGTTGCAGTTTTCTTAGCAACTACTCATCGCTGATGCTTGAAATTTAAGCACAATCTTGGTCTAGGCATTCCATATGGTGGGATACATTTTCGTACAAATTCTCTGTCAACTTATGTTTATCTGTGTCTCTGTCCGTATCAATTTTTTGTCGCAGTTTTCTCTTCAACTGTCTATCGCTGAAGCTTGAAATTTAAGCACACTCTTCGTCTAGGTATGTCACATTGGTGGGATTCATTATCGTATATACCCAAATTCAACTTCCTGTTTATCCCTGCATCTGTCTGTACCAATTTTTTGTAGTTTTCTCAACTATGCCTAAAATTTTAGCACACTCTTTGTCTGGGCATGTCATATGGAGTGATTCAATTTTTGTTTGCAAATACAGTGTCAACTTCTTGTTTATATGTGTGTCCGACTCGAACAAATTTCCTTTGCAGGTGGAATTTTGGCAAACTCTTTGTCTAGGCATGCCAATGATGCCATACATGATGAAATTCGTTTCTATGTGTGCACTGGTATATTTATATGAGACTATATATTCACATGCAAAGCGGGGGTATTACTAATAAGCATTCGCTGTCGAACTTCTTGTTTCAAAAATATTTTAATACACTGGAAATTGCAAGATCAAGCGAGCGATGATTAACCGACAACCGTGCGATATGCTATGTATAAAAAAAAATCGTGTGATCCCTAATATCGAACACGCGGCAACTATACTAAGGCTGCACATAAGTATAATTTTAAAAGTTTCTCATGAATACGGAATGAAGTTGAATATTTTGGGGGAAAATATCATTACGGAAGTTATCGTAAATCAAACAAAAGTATGCAGTACATGTATTTTGTTCCCAAAGTAATGAACATTTTTATACGTTTAACTCAGTGACATTGAATTCACTGAATTACTGTTACGGAAGTTAATTTTTTAAAAAGATGCAACTGTTTCCTCTTTTGCAATTGTTACGTCGAGAATATAATGGTCTAAAGTAGTTAACTCTAAACAAAGATGACGAACTAATAAGGTTCCATTACCGTTTTCAAGTACCTTTCTACTCTTTGTAAAATCTTATTTTGTCTGTGAAATTTAAAACAAATTCTTTACGGAAGTTACAGTATAGGGAACTAATTTTGTTAGCTCTACGTTTTAGAAACTAGAAGAGCTTTTGCAATAGTAAGGTTTCAGTCCACCTGTCTCTCTGTAAACACATTTTCAAATGCGACTATTTCTACAGTTTTGGTCTAATTTTTATATAACTTGGGTCACATGTGGACTATACTTAGATAAATAAACTAGTGCATTGATTTTGATTAACGGTGTTGCGATGGCTACTCAAAATAAACAGTTCTTTGAAATTCCCTGTAAACGCTTCTCCTCCTTTAGTTTTGATCTGATTTCAATATTTAACTTGGCAGACAAGTAAACTACACTAAGGTTCATGTGATGTAGAAATTTCTGTGAAATCCCCTTAGAAAGCTACTCTTCCAATAGTTTTCATCTGATTTTAGTATATCTTTGCATTCAAGAAGTCTACACTTAAAAAGATACCTTTTGCATGTTTATGTTTTAAATTCTGATAAAATGTGTTACCATGATTATTAAAAATGGAAATATTTGTTAAATAGTTTCAAAAGATTTCTCCTCCAACAGTTTTCAGTTCGAGTTCGAGATGTTTTAAATAATGCTGTATTAATTTGTTTATTTAGGTCCGAATGCTGATAAATGCTAGTTCCAGTAATCCAAGGAACGGCCCAGAAGAATTATTAGCTGTTCGAATGACCATCACCAATGCCATTATCGATCCATGGATATACATCATTCTGCGCAAAGAAAATCTGGTCAAAATGTCACGCTTGCAAGAGAGATTATACGATTGTTTACGACTGAGAACGGTGTATACTACCACTGAATCCCTACCTACAAAGGACGAATCAAATGCGATTGAAGGTTCAGCTGCAAACACTGCCACCACATGTTCTACGGAGTTATAAACTGGATCAAACTCGTTTATAAGCACACAACTGTGCCAAGTAGTGAAGTGCCAATAATTTTTTATGAAATGATCAATAATTTGACACCTTTTTTTTCAGATTATTCCTTCTTTATCGAAGAAAATTGCATACCAAAACATTTGTGTTATAAATATTAGTCAACGGAATTTTTTTTTATTTTTTCATGTTTATGTTTTTTTTTTTTTTTGAAAAGCCATCGTCTTAAAAGGTGCATTGTTCAAATAGCTGTGAAATAAATTTTTTGAATAAAGTTTACATAAATCAAGTCATTTTTTTTAAATCGTAAAAATAACCACTAAGCCAAGCATCACCTCGCAAAGAAAACATTTTTAATATAATAAATTGTATACAACTGCTATTTCGAACACACAGTCACATACATTACCGGTTGTGCGCCAAAAATTTTGCAGCACTAGCCCAGTCTGGCTAGAAGTGTCAAAAAGTTACAAGTCTGGGAAAATAACTCTTAATTATTATTATAAGTCCTTTCTTTCATACGTAATCAGTGTCTGTTCGGTCTTTTGTGGAAAATATATAGATAATACGCTTCTTGACTGTATTGAAACGAATCCATATTTGTTCACTTTTTGTCTTTGTTTTCTGCCTTTCATTTTGTGACTCGCTTAATGTTTCAGAGATGAAGATGACATTATGTCCCTCTCTGCTGATGTACATATGCTTGGTTAAGCTGGCTCATCGTCCTCACTACTCTCAGAAATATCTGTGGTTACCTCTTCCCTTTTTTTTTTGAGTTACGTTAAAACGGCCCGTTATCTGCGATTAGTATGTTCCTTCACTTTAAATTTTTCTGATCTCATCGCAATCCCCACTCTTCAATACATGATATTCTCAGGTGTCATATCCTATCTGTATCATCTTATTTGTTTTGTTTTAATGTTAATTCTCCAAGAAAAAATTGTGTAATAGTGTTCTGCCTCTGTGCAGAGTGTTTACCAAACAACAAACCAAAACAATAAGGGCGGATCACTCTTTATTGCATCAATGCTTGTATGTGTATGGTAAAAGACTGAAAATAATAAAGAGACAAAACTTACAAACAGATTCATACAAAATCAGTGATACCCAATTAACCCTATTTTACATTGTAAGTGACAAATTATAGACAAACAAGAATGATATCCAAATTTAATGAACATTTTTCCAATTTAAATTCAATCATAAACTGGCCTATCATAAAAAATTAAAATGCGCTCTTAGTAACATGTAGGTTATTTATCACATAAACTGAGAAACAATATAGCGTTTACATACATAGCAGATTTTTACTTAACCATTTACTTTCTAATACACATCGAAATCTGTTTCCCTATCTGATCAAAAGTAAACCGTAAAATATAATGTTAGATAATACATAAAAACTTACTTATGGTGCAGGGATGTACCCGTAAAAGTGAAAAATAGGTTACAACAATGCTTGGAACAAGCGAAAATGGCCTCCTAGCCTCATGTAGGAACAACATAAAATATTCTAAAAAACAAACCGTAAAGGGTTACATACCCGGAATAATGATCACAATGTAAAAAGAAAGATAACTCTTACGAGGTATAAATTGTGTAACACTACACTCCCCGCCTGATATGAAATATCACACCCTTACAAGCAAAACAAATGTATACATTATCCTTAACTGAGGATACCTACAATGCACAAAATGTAGTTACTTTAACTCCATACATAAACTAGTCATTCAACTTTTCACAAAACAGTTAGTTGTGATTTGACAGCAAAAGCACAATCTGGGTAATTGGTCGCACATATGTTCTCTTTGCTCCATCTTTGAATGTCATAAGTTCGACCTTTCTCACGAGATGATCCTCGCTAGGGAACACACGAGTAACACGACAGAGAGGCCAGAAGTTCCGATGCTGTTCCGCGTCCTTCATAAGGACAATATCTCCTTCTTGAACATTTGGTTTGGTATCGGCCCACTTTCTGCGTTCTTGTAGCGACTGGAGGTACTCCTTGCGCCATCTGTCCCAAAATCTGTTGGCAAGAATTTGGACTATCTTCCATTGAGAGGTGTACATGTCGCGAACATCAAAGTTCATATGACTTTCAGAGACATTCACCATTTTTTGGGTAAGTAGAACATTGGGTGTAAGTACCTGAGGCGACTCCGTATCCGTTGCAATAGGAACGATTGGTCTGTTGTTGACAATTGCCGAGACCTCTGCAAGGAACGTGGTGAGTACTTCGTGGGTTAGTTTGACGTGACGATTCTCTTGTAAGATGGCATCAAGGATACGGCGCGTGACCCCTATGAGACGCTCCCAAGTTCCTCCCATATGTGAGGAATGAGGGGGATTAAACCTCCAAACTGTTCCTTTATCTGTGAGTAGGTTATGTATGGGTGCGTCCTCAACATTCACCGAGTTAATACCTAATTCACGCACACTGCCAACAAAATTTGTGCCTCTATCTGAGTAAAACTCCTTGACATCTCCTCTTATGGCATAGAATCGACGTAGAGCATTCACAAAGGAAGGTGTATTCATCTGTTCTAATACTTCAATGTGCACAGCCCTACAGCACATACAGGTAAATAAAGCTGCCCATCTCTTAGAGTCGGCACTCCCACCACGAGTACGCCTAGTTGTCACACTCCATGGCCCGAAACAGTCCACTCCAACGTAAGTGAATGGGGGTGAGGGTTTCAACCTTATCGCAGGTAGGTCCGCCATCTTCTGAGTAAGAAGTTTCCCACGCCCTCTGCAACAAATCACACACTTGTAAATCAGTGAAGTCACAATACGTTTGGCACCAGTTATCCATAGACCTGCATTGCGGATTGCTCCCTCTGTTATATGGCGCCCTTGATGGTGCGTTAACTCATGGAAATGTAGAGCTAAGAGCTTAGCAATATGATGACTCCCTGGCACAAGTATGGGACTCCTTTCCCCCAAATCAAAGTCACCATGTTGTAATCGGCCTCCAACCCGCACCATGCCTTCTTCGTCTAATGATGGGTTAAGTCTCAAAATGGGACTGTTTCTAGGAAGGGGCCTTTCATTCTTAAGTGCAGTAATTTCCTTCTCGTAGACTTCTAACTGGACGTGATGTATTATAAGCTCCTCTGCCTTCCTAAATGCACTGCTATCTTCTGTAGCTTTAATATCCTTCCTGTGGTGTGCCACTGCATGGACAATCCGTTTCAGGCACATGATGGCTCTAACAAGATTCTTCCATGAAGAAAACCTCTCAAATCGTGAAGTCCAGGATAAGGGGGTAGACACATCCACCTTGCAAACCACAGTGTCCTGTTTGATTTCCTTATCCATAGTTGGATCTACCAAATCATATGTTGGGGCAGGACCATCTACAGTATCTTCTAGGCGTAGCCATTCTATTGGTCCACTGAGCCATGAGTCATACAGTGCACTGTCGATAGTAGATTTAGTGCCATGGTCTGCTGGGTTCTGGTCCGTAGGGATGTAGTTCCATTGAGATGATTTGGAGAAGCTTAGAATTCTTTGAACTCTGTTGCTTACGTAGGTTAAAAATCTCTTTGTGCGATTGTACACATAACCCAGAATGATCCTGCTGTCCGTGTAGAATTTGAAATGATCTGCATTGATGTCTAGCTGATCCCTTATAATAGTAGCAATTTCTACTCCCAGGACGGCCGCGCACAACTCTAAGCGTGGTATAGAAGTGGCTGGTCTGGGTGCAACTTTAGATTTACCCATAATGAAACCCAGATTGATGTCTCCACCATGACTGTGAAACAGGTAGGCCACAGAAGCAATAGCAACCTCCGAGGCATCTGTGAAAATCAGTACATTCTTCTCTTGAAGCTGTGAGAAGCCAATGGGTAGGTACTTACCAGGTACATTCAATGCTCCAAGACGAGTCAATGATTGGGTCCAATCATCCCATCTGCTCTGGAATTCTTCTGGTAAGGGAGCATCCCAGTCTACAGAAGGTGCCTGTGTCATTTCTCGAAGAAGTAGCTTTCCCTGAATAGTGATAGGCGCTATGAAGCCTAGAGGGTCGTACAGGCTATTAACACATGATAAAACTCCTCTTTTAGTGTACGGTTTCTCCTTCCTGGTAAGTTTAAACCCGAAGGCATCCCTCTGAAGATCCCACACGAGTCCTAGACTCCTCTGGGTAGGAAGATCATCATGTGTAATATCTAAGTCAATCAAGTCCTTTGCTAGATCTTTCACGTCAAAGCTCTGCATCACTCTAGGGTCATTAGACGCAATCTTATGTAATCTGAGGTTCCCATGGGTCAGTAAGGCCTGTTGAGTTCGTCGTAAGAGATCTATGGCTTCTTGTGTTGTTGGTAGGGACACCAGACCATCATCCACGTAAAAGTTCCGCTCCACAAACTCTCTTACGTCCTTCCCAAAGCTGTGTTCTGCTTGAATGGCAGCAAGACGAAACCCATAAGTAGCTACAGCAGGTGATGGGGTGTTTCCAAAAACCTGGACTGTCATGCGGTACTCGGTTAGAGGCTTGGTAGGGTCGTTGTCTGTGTACCATAAAAATCTTAAGAAGTTCCTATGTTTCTCTGAGACACCAAAGCAGTGGAACATTTGCTCTATATCTGCGGTCACAGCTACGGCTTCCATCCTAAAACGCATCAACACTCCAATGAGACTATTTGTAAGGTCTGGACCTGACAAAAGTACGCTGTTCAGAGACAAGTCCTGGAAGCGAGCTGAAGAGTCGAACACCATGCGAATCTTCTCCAGCTTGAGTGGGTGGTACACCCCGAAAATTGGTAGGTACCAACATTCTTCGTTTGGTTTCAGAGGTGGGGCTACCTCTGCGTGATTTCTGTCAAAAATGTTCCTCATGAATTCTAAGGCATGTCCAAGTTTGGTGGGATTTTTTCTCAACGAAGCATCTAATATCATAGCCCGTCTCATTGCTTGGGTGTAATTATTTGGTAACACAGGCCTATCATGTTGGAAGGGTAATGGGGCTGTCCATTTTCCATAGGAATCTCGGTGGAACTCCCTGTCCATTATTTCCAGGAACTGGCGGTCCTCTGTCGACATTCCAGGAGTCTCATCATTCACTGTAGTACAGAATATTCCTGAACAAGAACCGACAACATGTTGATGTTTTTCTTGTGTGATAAGTAACTTGGAATCACAAGGCTCAAGTAGGGTACTACGCCCATTGTCCAACACATGAGTCTTATTCACTACAATGGAATTAGGTCTATGAGCACTACCCAAACACACTTCACCGATAATAGTCCACCCCAAGTAGAGTTTTTGCGCAAACGGCAAGTCTGGGGGCCCAAGTTTTTGTTCGATCACATGATGCGCTTGGATCAGATCCCTTCCTATGAGAAGCAGAATCTCGGCTGTATGATCCAAATCAGGAATTAATGGTGCAATATCCAACAGGTGTTGATATGCAGACGCCACTTCCGGAGTCGGTATTTCCTTACGATTGTTGGGAATCTCATCACATTCTATAATTTTAGGTAAGTACAACTTTTGTTCAGCTGACACTGGCTCTATGACGAATCCCTCTGCTGTTCTTCCAGAAAATGTAACACTTCCACCACAGGAATTCAACGTGAAAACACAGTCATTGCCCTCTAACCCAAAGTGATCAAAAAACTTGGAACGAGCTAAGGTTCTATTGCTCTGATCGTCTATCATAGCGTAAGTTCTAAAGGTAAGATCAGGTCTGTTAGACGGGTATACGTTCACAAGAACAATCTTCCCACAAGATCGGCCAACTCTATCCTTCCCGCACAATTGGGTACAAGAGGACGTGATAATGTTTTCATCTCCCTTCCCAGAAGGTGATTTCTTAGATGAACTCTCCCCGCCATTTTCTTGCCCAGAGTCTCTGTGAAAATGCATACACGTAACATGGCGGTCGCTTTTACAAACGTCACAACTCACTTTAAGTTTGCACTTGTTGGCCCTATGCTTTCCCTTGCAGCAACGGAAACAAAGTTCCCTACTTTTCAGAAAGTCGCGTTTATTTGGGAATGTCATTGCCAGAAAGGCACGGCATTGTTCCAAGGAATGGTCAGCCTTGTGTATAGGGCACCGCATAGAGGATGTTGGAGTTTCGGTACCAACGTCTGACTTCCGAACAAAGACTTTGTTTGTAGGTTCTCTCTTCTTGTCGGATGGATACCTCGTACTAGAAATAAGACCTGGATCATTTTTCAATTCACATATCTCCTGTATGAAACTGACAAATATGCTAAATGGTGGGAATGGAACATGATTCAAACGTTTATACTGAGATGCACGGGTGGCCCATTTATCTTGTACTTGATTGGTGAGTTTACTAACAATAGGCAATATGCCTGAGGAAGTGTCGTAGTAACCAAGTAGTCTGGAATATTTTGGGTCCTGCTTGTTGGACTCAATCTCATAAAGCAAGTCAAGTAGATCATAATAACGCTTCGGATCCATCTCTGTGATTTTTGGAAAGTCCTTGAGCTTTGACTTCAATGCTGCCTCCACCATTTCTGGTTTTCCATAGAGGTCTTCTAATCGTGCCCATATCAGGGATAGACCCCTCTCAGGTTGGTGAGTATTTGCTGAACGTATGGATAGAGCGTGTCTTTTTGATTCAGGGCCCAGCCATTTTGTCAATAAATCAAGTTCTTCGATTGGTGATGCTTTCAATTCCTTCAGAATATTCAGGAAACCAACTTTCCACACTGTATAGTTTTGCGTCGAGTCATCAAATGCCGAGAAACGATGTAATAGTAAATCCTTTTTCAAAAGGTAGTTACTGAGGTCAACTATAGGTGGCTGTTCATGAGGTTGAACATGACTGGCAGTCGGAAAATGAAATCCTGCTTGACTGATGCTTGCAGGTCTCGAGCGATGTGAGGCATCATCATGTCGAACATAGTTAGGTGTGATTTCCGAGTGGTTGCTGGCCTGCGAGTTCACATAAGCTTCAGTTCTTTCTCTGGCCGTCTGTTCCACACTTTGTTCTTCAATGTCAAATTGAAAACTTCCTTGAGATCCACGATCGTAATTTTCCATGGCGTTCACTTCTGCGTTTGCCACAGCTGCTGCTTCCTTTTCCTTAGAAAGCCATATATCAATATCAGTAGCTGCCTTTTGTTTTTCCAGAGCCGCCTGCTCTTCCAAGAATTTAAGTCTTGTTTGCTGGGTCTCCGCTTTCACTCGTTTTTTGAATATCTCTGATATTGTCTTTGAGGCTTGTGATGAAGTCCTGGATTTCACTTCGAACTTTTCCGAGAGTTGTTCGGCTGCCTCTAATAGTTTATTATGTAGGACATCTCGAAATGTGAACACTATATCGGAATATGTACTATACTGAGACTCATGCTGCTCCAGTTTCTGTAGAGCTTGTTCTGTGCGAGCCCTTTCAAGGAAGTTTGCTAGGGCTTGACTTTCTTTAAGGTACTGTTTGAATTTTGCATTTATCTGGTCTTCTGTTGTCCTTAGGTATTTCCTGTCTGTATTGTCACCATCACAATTTGCGATGAGGTCCTCTACCTCCCTCCACGCGCTTGTGCACTTTTCTTGTAGATCAACGAACGTTTGGTCAAAGGATGCCTGACCCTTCTCTGTAAGAGTCCGAATCCTGGATTGTTTATCATCCTGTTCGTCTTTGACCTGTTGTTTCTCCCCTTCCCCTGTTGCCATCGTCCTACAGGTTGTCCCTGGTCATAATCTTTTACTGTTCTGCCTCTGTGCAGAGTGTTTACCAAACAACAAACCAAAACAATAAGGGCGGATCACTCTTTATTGCATCAATGCTTGTATGTGTATGGTAAAAGACTGAAAATAATAAAGAGACAAAACTTACAAACAGATTCATACAAAATCAGTGATACCCAATTAACCCTATTTTACATTGTAAGTGACAAATTATAGACAAACAAGAATGATATCCAAATTTAATGAACATTTTTCCATTTTAAATTCAATCATAAACTGGCCTATCATAAAAAATTAAAATGCGCTCTTAGTAACATGTAGGTTATTTATCACATAAACTGAGAAACAATATAGCGTTTACATACATAGCAGATTTTTACTTAACCATTTACTTTCTAATACACATCGAAATCTGTTTCCCTATCTGATCAAAAGTAAACCGTAAAATATAATGTTAGATAATACATAAAAACTTACTTATGGTGCAGGGATGTACCCGTAAAAGTGAAAAATAGGTTACAACAATGCTTGGAACAAGCGAAAATGGCCTCCTAGCCTCATGTAGGAACAACATAAAATATTCTAAAAAACAAACCGTAAAGGGTTACATACCCGGAATAATGATCACAATGTAAAAAGAAAGATAACTCTTACGAGGTATAAATTGTGTAACACTACAAATAGCGTAAATTAAGTTTACATCAACGAGTGTGGAAACGTAAAGTGTTAAACATATGGATATAACGAAGAGTATTCAGGCTCAAAAGTTCCTCAAACAATACAATTTGGAGCGGAGCAACCAAAACATCAGAGGTGGGATTATGTGTCAAAAGGGAATGAGCATCCCCTGCCGACCGGTCACACCCGACGTGTGCTCCTTGTCATGATCGTTAAATTCATCGACACAATGGCCTAACAATTTGTCTGAAAACGTCAGTCCGCATTTGACTTAATGGAAGAGTAAACCGGGACTCATCTGAGAAAAAGACACGTCTTCATAGCCTCAAGGAAAATTGACCAGGACCATGGACAACTTTCAAACCAAACCTGCGCAATCGGTTTCTTACAGTTTTAGGGTGACTTTGGCGGTAGATTCCTAAAAGTATTTCTAGTGGTTTCAGAGGCACTTACGTTGCGATTTCGCAAGTGGGCAAGACAATTAATTATGTCCTGACGTGGCGTCGTTACGGGAAGAAACATTTACCCCAAAGAGCAAATCAACCTTTTGTTGCCTTTGACTTATCAGTGCAATCGCCTGACCCCTCGGTATTTCAGTCAATCGCACTTTGACTACAAAACAACAAACTCTAGTTCAAATACTAAAAACCGATGTGTTTATCTCTGAGATATGAATTGGTACACTGAAAAAAAGTAAAATTCACAAAGAAGACTAGTAAATTTACTGTCCATACAATCACTACGTAGTACCTTAAAAGTAGTTTTACTAGGTATTGAGTCGTTGGCCAATGAAATTGACCGGAGATTCAAGGGGCCTGGGTTTGAATCCCTTGCATTTTTCTTCTCGCCTGTTGAGTGCCGTTCTATGTCCTGGAAAAGATAAGTGAAGGACCTGACAGGGAAAAGCTTGGTTTGTGGTTTGGTGCCTGTGAACCGAAGACCTGTGAAGGGGAAATGTGGCGATCAGAGACTGATAACTCAGTTGGTGGAGCATCTTATTTGAAGTTCGAAAAGGGGTGTTAAATCCCGGACTATTTCGTCGCTTTTTCTCCTCTTTTTACAAGATTGAGAAATGAACTAACTATTTATAATATATTGTTTAACACCGATTCGGCAATATTCAGCCATGTTTCGGGTGATACAAAAGCAAGACGGTGTTTTATCAAAAATGGATTATCATAGTTGTCAACAACTTTATTTCACAGATAAACTATACGAATAAGAATATATAAGTAATTTTTTTCCAAGACTAGTGCAACCAGAGAAAGACAAACATTTACACTATAAAAAAATGATAAAATATTCCCCACTTCGAATTCCCATGTTAGAAATTCTATACGTAATGTAAGTAATATAAATTAAATTAGATAAAAATTTTGAGTGTGTATAATATAGTAATATGTCGAAGAAGTTATCAGCATTCTTCCTTGACTTGGAACTGATCTGTTTTGTTGTAAGAGGGTCCTTTTTGTGAAAAAAATGTGAAAAATCTGAAAAAAGAATAATACGTACTTTGAATGTTTGTGTCCAACAATACGAAGCATTTAATTCTGAATTGATTTTTTCAATATTTCACTCATAAAAATTTGTAGAAATTGTTCCCCTCTTTGTTGATTTTGAAAGTTCACAAAAGTGGACATGAAATGTAAAAATTTTGTGACATAAACTTACACAAGAAGAACCAGCGAAATCAGTACGAATCCAGCCATCACCAAATACACAGTTCCCCTGAATAACGACACGGTATTGGAGTAGATGGAATTTAAAATCAGATTTCCCACAATCCCACACACTGTTTCCGTCGCTGCTATCCCACCAAAAAGGGCACCTATTTAGGTCGTGGTTGAAATATCAAATTAACTCTTGATTTTTAATACATTTAGTTAAGTAAAAATATCTAGTTTTTATTTCGTTTGAAATACTGTTGATACATCTATGTTTGATTGACCTTATTCAATCCAAATGATAATAAAGCAAACTATAAAGGTTACACTGTATATGATTATATTTTAAAAGATTTGTTGCAACTTAAATGAATCTTTTTAAAAATGTTAAAAATTCCCTCTGGAAAATAAGTATTCTCGAGTATTTGTTTTTTGTTCAATCATGCCATTTTTTTAACAGCGTAAATATGTACGATAATCCGAATTTCAATTTTTATACATCAGTTCCCAGTATGAATCTTGAAAAAGAAACATACAGTATGGAATCTAAGTACCTACAAAAGAGAACTTAATTAATTTTTAAATTCCCTCATACAACCTTGCTTATCTTGTGGAGTAATTCTCGACATGATAGCTGTAACCATTGGTAAAGTCAAAACACCACCGCCTCCAGCAATCGCGGCTTTTTAAAATAGGAAACATCATATCTTTAAATATTGAAATCTAATCAAATTCTATACAAATCAATACTTTCATTTTTCATCAAAATTAAATTGTACATAACACTGTTTTTTCAACAAAACCAAATTCTACACAACACTTTCATTAATCAACAAAATGGTTCAAAGTGCATTTGATTTAAGCAATATGATCTGCAATTGAGAATTTTATTTTGTTATTAACATGTGTTATTAGAAAAAATTAAAAACAAATAGACTACATAGTTAATTACACTTTAGATTGTTTCAAAAGAAAGACTATCAAGTATTTAGTTTTATTTAAAAAAAACAGTATTGTTCCGGGCGATCACTAAGAGCTTGTGAATATCTTGTAACACAAATATGAACAGGAGAAGTGTGAAAATATTCTTTTTCCCTGTCCTTGAAAAAGAAAATGACAATTTTGAAACAAAAAAGTTTGACATCAAAGATGCAGCTCATATTGCATTATAGGATTTTCAAAGTGTGATAACGTATATTTTGATTTCAGACATAACGTCATCATAGCGCTTTTTCGAATGGCGCTGATGTGGTTAAAGCGTTTAATTTGCTCGAAAAGTCTCGGAGTCAAAATTTTGATCCATGCGTTATGGGTTCAAATCCGACTGCAGGACGTTGAAACCGGTCATTGCGATGAAACCGTGATAACATCACAGCAGGGACAGTGTATACCTCCACATAAAAGATATCTCACTGCTCAATATCCGTTAGTACCGCTTAAAGGTCTATATTTGCTACCGGCAAGTGGTGGCGACTCAGTATGAATTTAAATAAATTCTCGAAAACCGGTAAAATTAAAATTCATTTTTACAGTATTGACAGCAAAGAACGTAATGTTTTGTATGATCAGTGCCGAGCCTTTTCGAAGTACGGTCATTTTCTTGATGGCGCATCATATAAACTTTGAAAATCACATTAAAAAGATAGTTGAACTCAAAAGGTTAATATCAAAGCAAAAAAACTCATTTCAGAAATGGATAATTATCTGTATCAAAATATCATGAATAGATTATCTTGATCGTTCATAGCTATTTGTTTATATGAAACTTACAAATTCATTTTAAAACATAAGTGTATTCATTAGAAAGGTTATTACCTACATATAGCATAAGATCGGTGCTGGCAAATGCTGTTATCATAAAACCAGCAATTCCTGAGAACGATCCCAGAATCGACACTCTCTCATCACTGAGACAGAGATGGAGGACTTTAATCATTCCCATGCAGATCACATTCTGAAATAAACCTGTTAACGCACCATACAATCCTACCTGCACTGAACCCCAGCAAAAAGGCTGACTAATTTGGTACAGTGTATCTACTGCAACTTTTCCAAACACATTAATACCAGTTGTAAAGAAGATGAACATGCAAATATTATACTTCCATCTTTCTCCTTTGTAACTTTTTGAGATGTAAAAGGAAAATGTCGTTCCAAGGTGTTTAAAACACACCGTCTTAGAAAGCATTTTATTGTCAGACTTTGGAGATCTTGTTTCCGGTAAGACAAAAACGATCACCAGTATTAAAAGTGCGTAAATACAACAAGCTGTCAGTTGTGGCCAAATATAGTCCGTGGCCTGGATGAAATATCCTGTACTAAATCTTGATACTACCACCCCTATACCAATTGACATCTCAAGAAATACAATAGCTACCGAACGTTGCTTATTGTTTTCAGTTATATCAGCAATATATGAAAAGGATGCCGACATAAGCGTCAGATAACCTCCCATTAAACCCTCAATTGTGCTTCCTATTAAAATATAATTTATATCAAGATTGTAATAAATGCAGAAAAGCTCAACGGTTTTGTTGATAAATTCACCAATGGCTGGTGTGAGGAAAAGAAAAATCCGTCCAAAACGGTCGCTTAAAGTTCCAAGAAGCAAGGTAGATACGATAGCAGGTATCCCTGAAACAAGGGCAACATAGATGGTGAATTCCGCAGCCTCTTTCTGGATAGCTTGGCTCTCTGGAGAGGCCTTGGTTTCATTGTCTGTACAGATGGATCCCGTTGAAATTGGAATTGTTCTCATGGGATACAGCTTTTTTGAAATAAACATTGGTACGTAAAGACCGACAGTATTTAGAGACATACTAGAAGCAAATATGTGTAATAACAAAATTGGTCCAGCTAAGTAATGACGCAATGTTACTGTGGGTTTGGCTAGGCGTATTTCTTGTTTAAGAATCGTTTCTTTTATATCCATGTTTTATTTTTTTCTCCTGAAAAGAAAAAACTCGATTACCTTAAAATTTATAATTCAATATATACATACACTAATACAATATACAAAATAGAATACCCTGAACGAAAGGCGTCAAACGAAGCGTTAATTATGCACTATGCCATGCAAACTCCGAAAGTGATAAAATGTATTTTGTTTCTTGTAACAGTTTTTTTAGGGGGGAAAAAGCTAAGTGGTATGTCTTTCTTTTTTTTTAATATGAAAAGCAAGCTTAGAGCCTAAATACTAGAGTTGATTATATGCCAGGTACATAAAGTATAATGACATGTAAAGAACAAAAATAACTTTAAGGTCTTTAAGTTGGTTTAAATGGGCAAAGTTTTTCTATTGCACACTTAGTTAATATCTCTCTATAAATCTCATACAATATTAGCAAATTTAATTGATCTCATTTATGACTTTATGGCATAAGTGTTTGTTTATAGCTATATACATGTCCTTATTTTTTACATTTGCTTTATTAATTATTTGTAAATGCGATGAATTGTATTTCCAATGTTGTATACGTATTTCATATTACAGTTTTTTTTTAACTAAAGTATAGTTTCCTGATCCTCCTTCAGACGTGAAAGAAAATTCCTTGAACATGTATTTTTTCCTTGCCTTTCGAATTTATAATCATTTTATATTATGCTCCCCTAGCTATACACACATGTCAATCATTTCATACAAGTGAACTCGAGGTGAAGTATTAAGCACATGTTTTCAATTACGGTTTATCATCACCATCAAACTTTAGAGGAAGGCAATTGACAAACATGCTGACATCATAGGACTTTCGTCTTTCTCGTTTCAAGTCAGCATTTTGCAAAATGTATGGTCGTAAAACATTTATGCAATGATTTGATTTGAACATATTTCATTATGTAATAAATACATAAATGGATTGGGCAGCAGGCTTCGCCTATATAAGCCCTCTCCATTTATGCAATGACCTCGTTTGCAAACATAGTTCATCGTTGGGTCGTATTTCGACTTGCATGATAAGTTATAATATTATTATTTAAAATTAAATTTGACATATTCTATTTATACCTGTTTAGCACAGAGCTAGGGGTTACGGCAGGTGTGACTGGTCGTCGACAGGTAATGTTTGTTTCATCAAGTGAGAACCTATATCACCTCTACCCTTTTAAGAGGTCTTTGTGTTTTAGTTTGTTCACATTTGCTTTCCTAAAATTGATATTTTTTCTGAAATATTTCATTGTAAGGATTGTTTTATCCCTCTGTTACCTGATTATAAAACTGAGTACATTTAGAAGCAAACACTCACATGCAGTGCGGATATACTAGTAATTGGCTTATGACACTATATAAAGTAATACTAAATCTGTTTTTGACCGGTCTCCACGTCCCACAGTGGGATCTGAACCCGCGACGTAAGGATTGGCTCCTTACTTCGCGATTCTAGAGCAGACGCTCTAACCACTGCGCCACGCGGGCGACAAACAGTAAGAAATATAACCACAAACACGGGCCTTATAGATCACCTGAATATCATGTAACATCTTTCCAACTATTGAATTTGGTTCGTACGTGTTTTAAACCAGAGGCCATGAAATCCACAATTTTGAAAGAGGCACCATGGCTTATCATAATTATACACTTAGCATGCTAAGTGTGGTTACTTAATATCCAGAGGTAGATAAGAGTAACAAAGAGACAATGCACTTCCACTTTATAAACCAGTTGTGCACCCCATCTAACAGGAACCACTGACCCTGGGGCCACATATATCAAAATTAATACCAAAGAGCATATACCCCCCCCCCCGATACCCCTGACCCAGTGGGCATGGAATTAACCATTTTGCTAGATGCATTTTTCTTTGTCATAAATATATAAATCTATATCATTGGCATAATACCCAGGAGGAAAAAAAAATATTTTCAAAGATTTAATGCATTTTCACTATACAATCAGTAGAGCCCCGCCCTAAAACCAGAACCCCTGACCCTAGGGCTGTAAAATTCACAATTTTGGAAGAGGCACTCTTGCTCATAACTATGTACTTAGTTTATTCAATAACCAGGTGCAGAGAAGAAGATTTTAAAAGATTTAATGCATTTCAGTATATAATCAATAGAGCCCCGCACTAACACCAGAACACCTGCCCCCGGGGCCATAAAATTTACAATTTTGGAGGAGACATTCTTGCTCGTCATAACTATGTATTTGGTTAGTTTATTTAATATCCAGGAGAAGAAAAGAAGATTTTAAAAGAATTAATGCATTTTCACTATATAATCTATATAGCCCCTCCTTAGCGCTTGAACCCCTGACCCTCGGGCCATGAATTTCAAAATTTTGGTAGAGGACTCTATGCTCATTACATTCATACCAACAGCTTGACTGCTTGAGTCCAAGAGTAAAGACGAAGATTTTTAAAGATTTCATTAATTTAAGTGGTTTTGGTCCCACCCCTCAGGTCCAAGGGGGGGGGGGGGGGGGGTACCATAAAATTCAAAATTTTTGTTTCACTTCAACCAAAGATGATGTAAACAAAATTTTATTGAAATTGGTTCAGTGGTTTCAGAGAAGAAGCTGAATATGTTAAATGCTAACACACGATACACGACGACGGATGAAAACGGATAGCAATAGGTCACCTGGGTGAGACCTAACAAGTTAATTTAAAAAGTTTGTTCGAATGATATGGCACAGTGGTAATGTGAAGATGAGACGAATATTCGATGCTTGCAAAATATAGCGACTGCTTTATCAGCTGGTGTTGACATTGTGTTATTTATTTAAGAATAAAGATTACCTAAATATATAATCGGCAATGAAGTATTTTATATTGTACGAGGCTTAGTTCTTTTGTCGTATTTAGTATTTTACTCGAGTTTTCAATGACAATGTTACTTTTAAAGAAAGGAATATGTCCCGGAACTCTTATTATCTTTATTTCCATAAGCAATCATAAAAAAAAATGGTTTGTTGTATACAGAATAGATATAGGTATGTTGTGAAAATATAAAAAACTCACCTGTTTTGAACTGAATGGAAGATAAAAACTCGCCTGTTTTGAACTGAATTGAAGATAAATCCCTATTTGGATGAGATTATTTCGAGATTACATTCACCAAGCAAAGTGAACATTTTTTATCGGGTTTGAAATACAAACTTGGTTTATACGGTCTGCCATTCACTGAAATCAAAAACCGATAAAGAGAATTATGTGATTTATCATAGTCTACTTAATTGCCGAGTAATATTGATATCAGACCAAAACTATAGGAGTAGTATCGTTTTTAAAAGTACTTCACTTGCCCAAATGACATTAAAAAAGTCTTGGGTTAAAGACACACCTTCAGGTCATAAGCAATCTTTGTGTTAAACAGAAAACCACCACGTTTATTCATCAGAAAGATATGGACCAGCCACAAATAGTAACTTTTTTCTCTCAGTGACCTTGAAGGCAAGGTCATAACACACCATCAGTCACAAGCAATCTCTGTTTGAAGTAGAAGATTCAAGTTTTTGAAATAAAATATGGACCGAACACGAATTATGAACTTTTTCTTTTAGTGACCTTGAACTTACCCAAATAACCTTGGTCAAGGTCATGACACATCTCTAGGTCATAAGCAATCTTTTTGTAAAATAGGATCTCACCAGGTTTATCAATAAGAAAGATAGAAACCGGACACGAATTGTGAAATTTTTCTTTCAGTCACGTTGAACTTGGCGAAATGACCTTGGGTCTAGGTCATGACACTTCCTTAAGTCATGAGCAATCTTTGTGTGAAGTACATTCTAATGTTCTTCCATAAGTAAGATACAGACCGGACAGGTTTGCACAGATGTCTAGACAGACAAGGTGACTCCTATATATACCCCAAAAACTTCATGTGTGCGGGGTATAAAAATATAAAAAGAACATATCTTGATATCCCTGACCAAAGTTTATTATAGGTAGTTTTATCATGTATATAGTAGTAGTATTAGTATTGTATTTTTTCTGTGCTACCTTTTATTTACTTATAATATTGGAACCAAAAATTATGTTGCATAAAGATTTATATAAAAAAAAGAAAATGAAATTGTACTGTAAATCAATACATAGATGGTAATATGGTATGTGTATTGTCAATATGATCGATGTATCGCTGTATTGTCACCAGCTTTCTAGTATCTATCTACTATCTAGTATCTATACACTTTAATTTATACCAAGTTTCCTCTAACCTAGGAATTAACATCCCCACTATACCTGCTAACCATGAATTTAAAGTTAATCCCCACAAAAATGAATGACTCCAGAGTATGTAATTTTCTGTCATCATAGGAAAGTTATTATGCAAGTTTCACAAGAGGAGTTGGTGGATATTGACCTGCCTGAACATTACTAATCTTCAAAGTGGTGCAAATCTTTTGACTGCTGCCATCTTGGATAAAGGCTTGAATCACGAGAGCAGGAGAATTGCAGACTGCGTGGAAACAACAGTGCCAAGTTACAGCGATCCAATGTTTCACTCTCATTTTCGAATGAATCGCTCGTCAGTAAATGAAATGTTATTTAAATACATGGATATTCTTTATTTCATGATACTGATGTATGAAACTACCCTATGCATCAACAGTTTGATCATTTTCTTTCGTTGATCTACAGGTAAATTAAGATGAAGAGACAAAAATTTTCATTAATAAGTAATATTTACCATATTTATATCCCTGTTTGTTTAACAGTACTTACAAAAGTTCCCTTTTTAGTTAATATTTGTCCAATGCCCAATTTTTGTAATCCCCGATGGTGTTAAAGTGCTGCAAAATGTTTGTCCAGCTTGCCTTACTTCCTTCTCACCTTTTTGTTGTCTTATATTTGTCATAATGGTAATTAGAGCATATAAAATTGGATGCCCTCATGATCAGACAATCCGGGAAATAAATATTTAGTGGTTAATGTAAAAAACAAAAATCTTATTTTCAAAACAAAACGGTGAAAACCTAAGTGAAATCGTCCGCCATGTTGAATAAAAACGTGCGCTCGCTTCCGGTCAGTTGACGGGTACTTCTCGCGAGCGAAAGTACCAACTGCTCTGCTGAACATGCCTCTGGTTTCATAACAAACATCGTGAATATCATGTTTGAGCACACAACGTTATATAAAAATTCAGGATAATTCAGTGCCACCTGAAAACGTTTAATTTTTCAATCTATTAGATATTGGAGGATATAACCGTTGACGTGTGTTGATGTCAAGGTTACATATAAAGTGTGCTTAAACATATGGACAACGAAGTTTCCTTCAATTTTTTTCTAAATGTAACTTCTAAATACCACCAAACTCATAGAGAAAAGAAAATCCAAGAAATCGTTTGTTGTAATTTAATTATTCAAGTTGTTTGGCAAAGTGTCATTTTCTTCTTGCACATCCACTTGGGTCACCGTTTTGTGAATCTGTGTTCGTCGTGAGCAAATGGTAAATATTCTGGAAAAAATAAAAGCCCCGTGGACCAAATCGCTTGCCTGTGGATATAGGATACGCAAAGGCAAGAATATAGTTAGGGTCATGGATTATACAAATTTGAATCGGCATAAATTTAGGATGCTTTTTACAATAATATGACTGAAAGTGGTTTGTATTTTCGTGAAGAAGACTTTAAAAGATTTTAACGTTTTCCTGTTTAAAACGTCGAGTACCCAATTTAGCCCAAGGGTCATGATTTGCAGAAATTTTAGTATACACTACCTTGGTATGTTTTTTAAATGAATATGAATGATCACTTTTCTGTTCTTGAGAGAACATTATTCCTTGTAAAATTCTTATCATCAGTTGTGACCCCACCCTACATGTACCTCCGCGGTGCCAGTTTTGAAAAATATAACTCTACCCACCTGAAGATACTTCCGTACTTTTCATGGCTTTGCTGTTTTTGAGAAGATACCCACAAGGGTCATAATTTAACAAATTTGAGGATGCTCCAACATAAATTCCTTAGTTCTCGAGAAGATTTTAACTGATGTCAATATTTGCTCACATTTTCATGATTATGTCCCTTCATTTGAAAAAAAAAAAAAACAACTAGAATTCTCCAATATACCTTGTGAAAAGGTTTGCTGTAATTGACCCAGTGGTTTATTAGAAGTTGAAAATGTGAAAAGTTTACAGACTGACAGGTAAGACAACTAGAAGTTGTGGTCAGAAAATCTCACTGGAGCCTTCAGCTCAGGTGAGCTAAAAATATTTAGTAACAACTATAATTATTCAGTCAACTTTAGTTATGTAATACTCAGTAGACTTACAAAAGAAGAAGAAGCGAAACTAAAACACAGCTGGCCATCAATATGTACACTGTCCCTCTGAAGAAAGCGACTGTATGAGAATAGACGGTGTTATAAAACAGACTTCCCAAGATACCACAAGTTGTTTCAACCGCTGATATCCCACCAAAAAGGGCTCCTGTAATAGATCATTCGTTAAATATTACATTTAATATCATTCGTTAAATATTACTTTTACTTGAGATATTGTATATTTCCTGGATAATAAAGGAATGCTTTAGTATATATATATATGTGTGTGAGGGTGTGTGTGTGTGTGTGTGTGTAGATGTATTTGAACAAAAATATGACCTTGCTTGTCTGGTGACGTCATTCTCGACATGATTGCACGAACCATTGGAAGAGTTAAAACCGTACCACCTCCAACAATCGCAGCTATAATTTAATGATATATCGTTTTGAAAATATTGTAGACATAGCATATATGTAAATCGTGGAACTTTTTGGAAATATTAAGAGAACACTCTCTTAAATTTTACATAGTATTATTAATCATTTACCTATGTATAACATAAGATCCGTGGAAGCTAAAGCTGTAATCAAAAATCCAGATATTCCAGAGACAGACCCAAGAATTGATACTCCTTCATCGCTGAGACAAAGATGGAGGATTTTTATCATCCCCATACATATAACGTTTTGAAACAAACTTGAAAGCGCACCATACAATCCCACTTTCACTGAATCCCAGCAAAAGGGCTGACTAATCTGGTACAGTAAATCTACACTAGATTTTCCCACCACAGTTATACCAGTGGTAAAGAAAATGAGAATACATATGTTATATTTCCATCTATCTCCCTTGTTGCTTTCTGAGATGTAAAAAGAAAAGATGGTTGTTACATAATTCAAACACGATTTCTGAGTGGCTCTATATTCCGTAACTGGTATCCTGGTTTCCGGTAAGACAGAAATTATTAGAATTACTAATACAGCATAAATACAGCAAGCTGTAAATATTGGCCAAACATAGTTCGTGACCTTGATGAAATATCCCGTGGAAAATCTTCCCAATACTACACCTACACCAACTGCTATCTCGAGAAAAGTAATGGCAACTGACCGCTGCTTGTTGTTCTCTGTGATGTCAGCAATATAGGAAAACGATGCCATTAAAAGTGCTAAATAACCTCCTGTGAAACCTTCGATTGCACTACCTATTAAAATGTAATTAATATCAATCTGATAATATACACAAAATAAAATTATTGTTTTGCTTATCACTTGACCTATTGTTGGTGTCAGAAACAGAAATTTTCGTCCAAAACGGTCGCTGAAAGCTCCAAGTAACATGTTGGAGATGACAGCGGGTATCCCTGATAATAGAGCTGTGTAAATCCCGAACGAGGCAGCCTCTTTCTGAATAGTCTCGCTTTCGGGTGATATTTCTGTTTCATTAATAATGCAAATTGAACCTGTTGAGACAGGCATTATTCGCGCAGGATACAGTTTTCTCGATATATATTGAGGCACATAAAGTCCTGAGGTACCATACGCCAGAATGAAAGCAAATAGATGGATGAATAAAATTGGTCCAGTCATATAATGACGCCATGATATATGCATGGGTGAAATAGTAGTTTGTATTGCCTTTCCGTGAAGAAGACTTTTAGTTTCCTCTTCTGACATGATGCGTTTTTTTCTTTCTGAAAAAAAAGTAAGATTTCACAACTGTTTGAACGAAAGCTTTTGTCACATTTTATGACGATATCAGTGTTGGGATAGCTATTGAATAGCTGAAATGAAAAAAAAAACAAGTTAGATAGCGTGCCATTTTCTAAAGAGCAACGGTGTCATATGTCATATGAGAAGTTCACATGTCATCAGGAATCTAGTTTTTCACCCTACATACATGTAACACACAAACATGGCGATGACGACTCACGATCGCGACCGACTGACTAAAAACGACCCAACCAAAAGGATGCATTTCAAAAAAAGTTCACTTTTTTGTCTTTTGATCAGAATAATAGGAAAAACATTCTAAGAGTGAAATTTTTCCCCATTGGTTAATATACATGGTCATACAGCTTACAAGTTATTTTATGATCATCTCCCATGTGTTTTATAAAAAATATTCTATGCATTCTGAGTAAAATTTAACAGTAAAATCATGTCACTTCAACAAAACTTTTATAACGTGCTTAGTTAAATGATGGGGAAAATATTACCCTGTGAAGATATGTACAAATTTTGCACCTCATATTAATTGAATTCATTTGCAGATTAATTTAGTATGATTGTTTTACTTATGCCGCCCACTAAATACTAGTATTGTGCATTTAACATTCAGGAAGTGACATGTCCTACAAGTTTATGTCATTCCTGTTACCAAAAAGAAAATGTGAAAATAAAAGTTATCTCACTTTCCTAGGAACTGTTTTCATGATCCACATTATATCATCATTTCTGTTGTTTCAAGTTTATGAGCGCCATGATTTGAAAGTGAGTAAAGAAAGGGTTCAAAGGTCGATAATTTTGTCTTATTTGTAGAGTATAATTAAAATACGTCTTATCTGTTACCTTCATATTATGCAAGTACTCTTTAAATTGTTTATTCTGCTAGAACAATTAGATTAACTAAGTTACAAAGAAATGGTTTCAATGTCTCAATGATGCAAAAAGAGTACGTTATACTAACTAACTGGTGATTTATATGAGAAATGTCCATCCTGTTACTGTCATTCCTGTTACCATTAATATGGTAACAGTAAGGAAAATTGGTCTTCATATCTTGAGTTTTAACAATAAAAACAATTACTTTTATTTTTCTAAGTAATATAAGTTTAATAACACATGTTAAAAAACTTTATAAATCATATTGAAATTTGTTTGTGCTTCAAATAGTGCCATTATAACTTAAACATGCACTCTTGTAACAGAATGGACAGAAATTGTAACAGGAGGGGAAAATTATCCTGGTATTTATATACCTATTTAAGTTTTATCATTTGTTTTTCTTAAAATTATGAAAAATTCTTAGTTTTGCAACAGCATAGAGTACCTTTAATAAACAAAAATTGAAGTGATAAATATTTTAATAGCACTTCACAATTAAATTTTGTAACAGGATGGACATAAATGTCTTTTATTGTCTCGAATTTGCCAGATTTGACAAAATTATGTTTTTATTCTACATTTCTTTCTCTTTTCTTAAACAATAAAGTTAAAAAAAGTCAATTTTTATTTAAAATGTAGATTTGATTGTCCATCCTGTTACACTGTTTGGTCCATCCTGTTACTGTTTTGTCCTTCCTGTTACCCGAGTCCTTACTGTTACCAGTATATTTTCCTAGTTTAAATTGCTTTGGCAGAGCACATGTTTAAATAACTTTCTGTAATTGTTTATTCTAATCACAAAAATAATGTACAAGAATGTTTTTTTTCAACTATAGCATATAAACATTCTGCAATAAGGCTTTTCATGAAGAGAAACCCGTAGATTTTGCTTCTGTTTGGTATATGGTAGTTTGACATGCTTTTAAACGCTCATATATTAGATGAATGTCAGACATCTCGGCATTCAATGATTTTTTTTTTCATTTTTTAACGATATACAAAAGATTATTTGATGAAAATTTTGAAATAGAGTTTTACAGCTCTTTTTATGAAAGTAACAGGAAGGACATTAAAGTTTAAATGACTAAGATAAAATGTCAATATTTTTTAAAAGAAATATTTTCTTTTATGCAATGCAGTGGATTTTAGTAGTTTATTACTGTATTATTCAAATAAAGTTGAAATAATCATTGGAAAACCACTTTCATTTTTCAAAAATATGTCATTCAAAAAATGGACTTTTTAGCTCACCTGAGCCAAAGGCTCAAGTGAGCTTTTCTGATCAAAATTTGTCCGTTGTCTGTCGTTGTTGTCGTCGTAGTCGTCGTCGTCGTCGTTGTAAACTTTTCACATTTTCGACTTCTTCTCAAGAACCACTGGGCCAATTTCAACCAAACTTGGCACAAAGTATCCTTAGGTCAAGGGGATTCAAGTTTATTCAAATGAAGGGCCACGCCCTTATTCAAGGGGAGATAATTAAGAAATAATGAAAATTTGATGGTATGTTTTAAAAATCTTCTTCTCAAGAGCCACTGTGCCAGGAAAGATGAAACTTAAAGGGAAGCATCCTCGGGTAGTGTAGATTCAAGTTTGTTCAACTCATGACCCCTGGGGGTAGGGCGGGGCCAAAATGGCCGATCAAAGTTTTACATAGAAATACATAGGAAAATTCTTTAAAAATCTTCTTCTCAAGAACCACTGTGCCAGGAAAGATGAAACTTATAGGGAAGCATCCTCAACTAGTGTAAATTCAAGTTTGTTCAAATCATGACCCCTGGGGGTAGGGCGGGGCCAAAATGGCCGATCAAAGTTTTACATAAAAATACCTAAGAAAATTCTTTAAAAATCTTCTTCTCAAGAACCACTGTGCCAGGAAAGATGAAACTTATAGGGAAGCATCCGGAACTAGTGTAAATTCAAGTTTGTTCAAATCATGACCCCTGGGGGTAGGGCGGAGCCAAAATGGCCGATCAAAGCTTTACATAAAAATACCTAGGAAAATTCTTTAAAAATCTTCTTCTCAAGAACCACTGTGCCAGGAAAGATGAAACTTATAGGGAAGCATCCTGAACTAGTGTAAATTCAAGTTTGTTCAAATCATAACCCCTGGGGGTAGGGCGGGGCCAAAATGGCCGATCAAAGTTTTACATAGAAATACATAGGAAAATTCTTTAAAAATCTTTTCAAGAACCATGGTGCCAGGAAAGATGAAACTTATAGGGAAGCATCCTCAACTAGTGTAGATTCAAGTTTGTTCAAATCATAACCCCCGGGGGTTGGGCGGGGCCACAATGGCCAATCAAAGTGTTACATAGAAATATATCGGAAAATTCTTTAAAAATCTTCTTCTCAAGAATCGCTGTGCCAGGAAAGATGAAACTTAAAGGGAAGCATCTTCAACTAGTGTAAATTCAAGTTTGTTCAAATCATGACCCCCGGGTGTTGGGCGGGGCCACAATTGCCGATCAAAGTGTTACATAGAAATATATAGGAAAATTCTTTAGAAATCTTCTTCTCAAGAACCACTGTGCCAGGAAAGATGAAACTTATAGTGAAGCATCCTCAAGTAATGTAAATTCAAGTTTGTTCAAATCATGACCCCTGGGGGTAGGGCGGGGCCAAAATGGCCGATCAAAGTGTTACATAGAAATATATAGTAAAAGTTCTTTAAAAATCTTCTTCTCAAGAATAGCAAAGGCATGAATGATCATATTTTTATAGAAGCATCCTCAGGCAGTGGACATTCAATTTTTGTTCAAATCATGACCCCAAGGGGTAGGGTGGGGCCACAACATGGAATCCAAGTTTTACATAGAAACATGTAGAAAAAATCTTTAAAATTCTTTTCAAGAAACGCAAAGCTATGATTAGTCCTGTTCATATGGAAGCATTCTTGGGTAGTGTAGATTCAATTTTGTTCAAGTCATGACCCCTTGGGGTATAGGGCGGGGCCACAATGTAAGTTAAAATGTGAAGGGCAATAAAACCACAGGTAATCAAAGAAATATGCATGCATCCTTAGTTAGTGAAGATTCAAGTTTGTTCAATATTTTTAAATCATACCATTTCCCTTTTAAGGATTGGTTTAGACCACTACTGGGTTTAAACTTTTCAACCATAAACTGATTTCTGCTTTTTTCCTATCCACATTGCTCAGGTGAGCGATGTGGCCCATGGGCCTCTTGTTTTGAAAATGACCCAAAACTATATTATTTTACCTCCAATATTTTTCATTCATTCCGAATTTTTTCTCAAGTTAATTTCCATTTCAATTTCACATTTGCAAGTGCTTTATAATTAGTAGAATGTCCTTACCTACGCCATTTTTTTTCATCCAGAGTCGGGTCAGGGGAGCAAACTTTTTTTAAAGATGGCGGAATCATACTCCTATATTTGCTCTGGTTTTGCTGTCTTTATTAAAACATTAAAGTTACAAATTGCTCATACAATTTTTCACGCAATGAATTATCTTTTAGTATTGGAATTTCGAATTTCGATCAGCTGAATATTTTTTCCAGTATAGGTATAGAGACATTAAGGGAATAGCTTAATTTCACTCTTTTTTGTTAGACTGTCATTTTAGCTATCACTATTAAAAGGTGGCATGATGGAGATTGTACAATTTACATACATATCAATAAAGGAAGCCAAAAATAATGCTTCAGTAGGCGGTTATGCAGGGTCAATGTGAAATACTATGAAATACATAACGATTTTCTTCCTCAGCTTAGTAAACTTTAATGGAAAATGTTATCAGTATAACACTCAAATAGGTTCACGTGATAAAGGTAACGTTATACCTAATGTGCTAGAGTTCTATTTTATGTGAACCTTCAGGTAGATATTTTTGTACACAAAAATGTAAATATTTGGGGGAAAGGTTTAAAAAAGTTCTTACCTGTAATACCGTTAGTGTTTTACTGGATCAATTAGCTAATTAAAATTCGAATCCAATGTCATTATTATCCACTCCATGTAGATTGATTATCATCATTGTCAATCTAAACAAATTACAAGATCGGGATCAGACTACAGGATAACCTTTAGTCAATATGGAAAGAATGCGCACAGTTTTCCGTACTTGTTTAAAGAATTATGTGTCACTGAATAGATTGCATAAAAACAAATAAATTACCTTGAAAGAAAATAAAGTAAAAAAAACTTTTCATTGAATTATGCAGAGGAGAGCTTATATTTAATAACCCTTAATCAAAGATCAAGCATGTATAGATGATTGAATTCAATAAATTTTTCCAGTTAATTTGGAGTTTCTTTCGACTTTGCAATGAAAAGAGGAATACTTGAGAGTATTGTATTATAATAAATTTGAAAAAAATGAAACCATAAGCCTGACACATCAAAAATTTGTTTTCAGTGTCCTTACGAGCAAGGACATACATGTATGCTTAGACGAAGAGTAGGCATTAAAAAAAAGGCTCTGTCAACAAACTGATTCTTATAGCATAAATAATGATGACCAAAAAATCATTTATTAAAATACATCGAGGAAATTTTTTAAAAAATAATCCAAAATTTTTAACGCTTCTCTTATCCTCTTGACGTTTGGAAAAATAGCTTCCATCTTTAAAAAAATCTTTTTAACTTCCTTAAAAAATATTTCAAGTATCATAACTGCATTTTTTTTTTTTACAATTTAGGTAGATTTTTTTATCATTACTAGTGTATTATTTAAAAACAATTTTCCAAAGCTGCTATAGATTTCCCGAAAATTTAAAAAACATTTATTTTATCGTTAACTTAGTAAATATTTTTTCACGTGCAGTGTTATCACCTTTATCAGTAGGTAACGATAGTCTTATGACAAGTCAAAATCTAACTCATGCTTGTTTAAAATATAGAAATTAAAGTGACTACCATCTATAAGATTAGATTGTCTCCTATTTTTCTTGATCTATCTCTCCTCATCTACCCAGTCCCGTGACTGACCTAATTAAACAGATACCGAGACCTATACATATTCTACATTGCATCTGAAAATCAAACTGATCAGTCGATAAAATCACACAAATAGGTAAGAAATCATCATCATTAATGACTTTTATAATATGTTTTTCGCGGCAAAGAAAAAGGAGTAAAATTTAAGTAAGATGTAATAATAAAGTTAACGTCTTGACCATGCCATACATTTTCTATATATAGCATTGTAAGTTTTCTTTCTCTGAGTGGTATGAAAATGTTAATAGTTTTATATTCCCGAGTCTGAAGCCCAGTGTTGTTTTGGTGGCCCGGTATACATTCATTTGTAATCCTAAGTAGTGTAGATCTCTGTACTGCATAGAACTTTACACAGTATATGTAGCATGTAAGACTGCTAAAGAGTTAAAAAGGCGTTTATTTTTAAAAACTGAATTCCAAAGTTTACATCCATTGTTTTTGCAGAGGAATGATTCTAAAGTTTCTGGCCATCTTCCTTTTGCTGTGGAAAACTAGCCCAGCTGAGAAGGCGAGATTTGATGGGTTTGTACATCTAAATATAGAGGCTTTGCACGAACCACTCAAAAGTCATGGCTAGAACTAGCTTTTTAAACAGTAGATCTGACTCCAAGGTCAGAGAAAAAACAAGTGTTCGTGAAACACTGATGCCCCCGTATGACAGCTACATGTAATCTAGTTAGAATAATCTAACTGTGTCTCGGTACAGGCCCTCACCACAGTTAGAATACGTCCCATATACTTGCAATGTAGCAAATCGGAGCGGATCCGCTCCGAAACGATTTTGAAGAATATAAAATGATTTGCACTGGGAATAACTACCAAAATAATCAAAACAAACCTTCTTGAGATTGCTTATGCCTTTTATCCCTAAAAATAATCCATATAAATACGAAAATCCAATTAATTTTCTCAACGTTTTTCTCTCGATTCAAATTACCTGCTATGTTTATATTCGGAACTCTCTAGATTGTTCCTAGTAAATGCACTATGCGAGTTATCGCCCGTGTTTCTTTCTGCTACATTACGAATACACGGAACGAATTCTATCGTTAAACCGGGTCCGTAGGACAATATCATTTTAACGATAGAACATTCTATCTACATGTAATCGCGAGGGTTGAATTATTTCAAATGTATGTCAAACTCAAAGTGAAGATCAAAAGTGTTGGTATCCAAAGGAAGGTCATGTTATAAGGAATACACTTGTGAAATATGGAAGCCCTAGTTCTAACTGTTCAAACGTCATGACCAAGGTTAATGTTTTTAAAAAGTGGGTCAAACTCTTAGGTCAAGGTCAAAAGATGTTCATAAATATTCATACCATCTGAAAGTATTTTGTCACAATGAATACACATGAGAAGGAGGAAAGCCCTAGCTCCAACTGTTCATGGCCAAGTTTAAGTGTGGTATGTTTTGTAAAAGTAGGTCAAACTCCGAGTTCAAGGTCAAGGGGTCAAATTTTTTGGCATCCAAGGAAAGGTCTTGTCACAAGAAATACACCTGTGAAATATGAATGCCAAAGTCCCATCCACTCAATGGATTAGGTTAAAGTTAAAAACAGACAGAGAGACAAACAGACAGACAGGACAAAAACAATATACCCCGGGATCTTTTGATCCAGGGGCATAAAAAATGTACCAAAGTAAGGGCATAATCAACTGAGATATATACGTAAAGTATGAAAGGATGGTTTTTAAAAAATATACATCTACATATCGATGAAATTTTAATTAGACTTCGTCTTAATACGCTGCATTTGTTGATAGTTTTTCAGTTTTGCGAGTCATTCCTAAGTCTGAGAAGCAGCTTCTAGCGTTAAAACAGCTACTGAGAAATAGCCAGCTTGAGGTGTGTGCATGCATTTCTAATAGTACACACATGTATTGTTAATAATCCCTATTTTCTCCATGCTTTTTTACAATATCCTTCTCACCAATTACTAGTTTTGTATAGAAGTACTGCAACTTAAGAAATGTTCGAAAAATTTTTTCCTTTGAATCGGGGAATACACATTGATTTTATAAATAGATAAGACTTCAAACGAATGCTAGTAATCCCTTTTTGTTCATATAGATAGACGTATGGCGATTTCCTGGTTTTGTTGGTCAAAGTGCAGACATTCAAATTTCTCCAGAACACTTCTTCAAATTAAACCAAACATTGACGGAACTTGGATTTCGATCTGAGTTATTGATACGAGATGTGCAAAAATTAATATCAGAACAAGAACGAAAGAACAAAGAAGTCAAAGAAACTGCTGAAGTGTTTAATTACGGCAAATACCATACACTAGATGAGGTACATTTTTATGTTCTTGTAGGTTAGAAAAAGATCCTTTAGTTTACATTATTTAATTAAGAAATAAAGTCCGCGTTTTCGTGAATGTTGCAGAATAACCTCCGAGGTCGAGAAATGTTGTTTGAAAGATAAAGCCGAGGCGTTAGCCGAGGCTTTTATATTTCAAACAACATTTCGAGACCGAGGAGGTTATTCTGCATCATTCACGACAACAAGGACGTTATTTCTATTCTACCAGAAACGATTAATACGGCTGATCGTTTCCTCTATAGAGAAACGAATTAGGTCACCATGTCTCGATTACGCTGTTCCATTTAACACCAGAGATCAAATTTGTTTGCTTACCTGTGTATAGAATGCAGACGATTTGCGCTTTCGTTACATTAAAAATAGCCTTTTTAGATTACAAATTTGTTCGTTATATGTATTGATCAGTCAGAATGAATATACAATAACAAATTCATGTTCCTGTTTTACTGCTAAAATCACGTTGTTTAATGTGTAGGGAGGTCCGTGGAATAGCCCCGCTTAGCTTTAAAAACCGACATTCATCAGCAACTTGATGCAATTTACTGTGTTTATATTGCAAAAGACGACACATCGATGCGGTCTAAACAAGTATTACATTCTACAGCCAAAAATGCATTTGAATTGTTCAGATTTGATACGTGTTTCTGATCTGATAATTTTTTGATGACGTTCGTGATTTATTGGAGAATAATGTACGGCGGTTTCCTTTGATGTTTTGAATAATTGTGGTAGAATTTAGGTTCATTGACATTGATAAGGGCTATAAGTCTCACTGAGATAAATGATTATTGCTCACCGTGGAAAAAAGATTTTTAGGCGGATTCTGACTTGCACCATACATTTATTGTATAAAACATTAAAATTTGATTTTTTTTAAAATGACTACTACAGGTATTTAGCTTTGATAGACATTGAATTTGTCAAAGATAAGGCATGATTATGATATCTACTTGCATTGAAACATATATTTGAGATTGTTTATTTCCAGTGTATGTGACGAAAAAGCAAATCGGTACAAATGGTATTTATCAATTCACCCCTACTATTGTTATTGTGATTTAAATTCAAGACACGTGGTTTAGGTTTACCTATTTTAAGGTTATAGGGTAGAACTGGTTTTATAAATAAAATTGGCAGTACACAGGAAATTGCTCTAGTCTGTTTCTTTTATAAACATGTCCTGTGAAAAATGTGTTTCCAGACCTTTCTGAAAGACTTTCATGATTTTCAACAGAAAAGGGTGGCTGAAGGGGGAAGGGGGTGGTAAATAACATTATATCTTATCATAGTTTACGGCAAAAATTAGAGCTCACTAGCGACCGATACGCTGGTAAAAAAAGTGTAATATAATCTGAACTGACAAACCTCTGTTTGCCTTATGTGGAAATTGTTATTAATGCAATAATGCGCATCTAACCACGAGTAACTGACCAATAATTATATTATTGTTGATCGAATACTTTGACACCAAATACATTATTACATACTATTACTTCGAACACGTGGTTCAGGTCAATCTATGATCATGTCAATGGAGTGCAAAATAAAACAAAATGTTCTCATGAACAAAATGCAAAGATTAGAAACTATGAAAGATGTCACGGGCGTTTTTAATTTGCTGTTAACTAGTTAAATACATGTATGTTCAATAAAATGCATCCGTAGTTAGAGTCAAGTTCAGAACACCAGCACTTCAAGAGTAGGGAAAACGAGCAGCTTCTGGTATGCATTTAAATGTACATAAGTGTACACGTGA